GGGGAATTCTGGGAGTTGAAGTCCGCACATCTTAAAGTGGCCAACGTTGAGAAACACTGCTCTAAAGGTAATAACGTTGGCATAGGACGTAAGAATCAGGCGCTTCGTGCCTGGAATTAAAAGAGACACTTGGGTGATTAACCAGCGAAGTGAAAACACTCATAGATGATTGTTGCATCTTCTATATACCATAAAAAGAGCGGAGGGGGGGGAGGAACCCTTTTTGTTCATTATGCTGCAGGTTTCCCAGGGACCAGGAGGCATTTACATTTTAGTTAAGTAATAGCTCCAGGTGGGGAGGTATTAATTTTTTTCCCCCTTCCACAGTCTTGCCGTGATGGACCACCGCTCCCCTTTGAAACTTGTAATCGTCTTTTTGGAAAGGAAACGCCTAGGCTGTGCACCGCTTCAGAATGGAAGAGAAATTTTCTCAGGATGCTTTAAGGAGATCCTGACAGACGCTCCCTAGGTGGGAAAGCAAGTTTCTCCCTCTAATCCAAAGTGTTGCGCACTCCTAGAAATGTTCACATGGCCACCTCCGTTTGCTGCCCCTTTGGGTACAAGGAATGCAGATGGGGGAATCCGGTGCCAATTTCAGAGGGTATCTGCCACAGCCAACTTCCCCTTTCCCAAATCTTTTTGCGCACCTGAATTTTGAGAAGAAAAGAGTTGGGTTTTGATGTCCTGAATTAAAACCCACACCTGGGCTGTTGCGCAGCAGTGATCAAGCCTGCCCTTACAGGAACGCGTTTCTGCATCCAAGAAGACAAGGTGACCAACAGGAGATTTTACACGCAGAGACCCCATGGATGAAAGAGGTGCCTTCAAGGAGGGTTATGTAAAAGTCTCCCAAACTTAACATTCACCCTTGAACTTTCTGATCTGCGGTGACCTTGAACGTAGAAGACAGTTATAGGAAAAGACAGACATTCCCTCCCAAATCGTTTTTGGGTACCAACCTTTTCCAAGCTGCAAATCAAGCAATTTTCCATCCAGATTTTCCCACCCCACTCCTGGCAAATTGCAAATAGGTGTGATGGAGCAAACAAGAAGTCTTCCCCCTTATTGTTGGAAGTCTCGAAATTGCCCCATTTGCAATTATTTCTAGCTTTCAACTCCCCAGCGGATATTGCTGAATTTTATGGGGATGCAAAATAGACCATCCTAGGATGAAACAGGAACTTCTCTGGATTCTGCAAGTGGCAAACCATCATATCAGCCTTTTTTAAGGTCAGGCTGTTTTTTGCAAAAGCCCTCTAAAATTCCTCCAGAACCCTGGAGTTTTAAAACCTCACCCTCTTCCCCCCCCACCCCCTTTTCTGACATACACACAATCTTGGCTATAGTTCACACTCTACATCTCTAGCACGACTAGGCTCAGAAATAACACCGTAAGAGAAATCGTGACACGTACTTTATAGTGGAAAGCATTCCAGCACAAGCCGAAGCAGACACATCACACACAAAACGCCACAATTTTTGCATTCGTTTCAGGAGTCAAGCCAACCATATTGGTTACCCATA